CGAACTTATGAATTGGATCCCAAGTTTTGATTCTGCTCTATGATCATGCTCCTGGGGCGATACAAATTGTTGCGATCCATAAATTAAATGATACTTTATGAACTTTTCATGGCTTTCAATCGAGGAATGTCACTTTGCCTAGATGACCTTGAAATTTTCAGAATATAGGTCCCATCTACCTCTTCCTTTGACTCTTGCATTGGCTCATACGGCTCAGTTTCCATTTCACCATCTGAACATAATGTAGAGAAGTGCTTGGAATGAGGTCCAACGCGCTCAAATACATGAACTTCAAGATTTTTAACCTCCTCAACACCAATCACACTAGAGTCAACTAAATTTGTATCATCAACGTCCCTGGTTGACTCTAATATTACTTCTTCAACATCGGCATCCTCAAATTCTAGCTGGTTAGAGTGTTGGGGTTCTACTTTGGACCCCTCCATTGGCACCTCAATTTCCATCTCTAATGCGCACTGCTCCTGGCTACTATCCATAATATTGGCATATTGAGCATTAAAAGCTTCAACTAGTTGACTCACTTGAGCCTCCAAGTTACAAATAGTTGCATCTTGCCTTTGTACCCGCAGTTGTATCTCATCATATTGTTTCATAAGGCACTTTAGCATATCCTCAATCTTTTTCAGGTCATCATCCCTGGGTTCTTTGTTCATATTAACTTCAAAAAAAAAAAAAAGAACCATCAAAGTAAGGGGTTGGAGGAAGATAAGAAATATAAGCACAACCATGAAAGTGACCATCTTGACCACCACACATATCACACACATTCCACACATAAGATTGAGTTGGTGCACATAACGCTCTCGGGAATATTTCGACAATTTTGCAATGGGTGGTTTTCCCCACAATATGCATAAGGAGGATCAAAAGTAGAATTACCAACATCAAAACTCTCATAATTCCAAGATGTCATGTCTCTCAAGTCAAAAAAAATCAAATACAAGAAAACAAAAATAAAAGTTCAAACTTGCAACCTAGAAATATGTACACCTACAGCTATACCGTTAGTTCCCGGGCAACGAAGTCAAATTTGATCACGCCCAACTATGCCTTATAAAAAGGACTAAGCGGTTGTTACAAATATAATCCGGTTTACAAGTTCGGAGTCGAATCTCACAGAGAACTAAGGCTTAGCTACAACTGTTCACTATCACCAAGAAGACAAGCTTGAACAATTCCTAACTTATAGATATTAAGATTTTTATGTCTAACTAATTAACTAACAAATTAAATTAGTAGATTAACAACTACAGATACTACGGGTTGGAGACATGATTAAGGAGGTCTAGCGTTATGATTTCCCCTATTGTCGGAATCCTTTCGGCTATATTTCCTATAAATTTCCCTAAGTTTCTCTACCGATCATGAGCACTTTGACTGTTGTAACTCTCTCCCGAGTAATTACCACAATTTACTAGACATATTCTCCCGAATTACGCTAGCTGGCATTAAGTACGGCTCACTCAAATTGCACCAAGGTTTCGTTATCCCTAATCCCACCTTTAAACCCTCCGTATTGAGCCCTTATATACGTTAGGAGTGATGTTGTTCAACAACTATCTAAATATGCACTCTCTCCCGAGTAATACATATTAAATAGGCACAGTCGATTGAGAGCTCTTCAACCAACCACAAGAATAACGTAGTTAAACAAATAGAGAAAATACTACGGCAAATCTATATTAACATAACAGGAAAATCATCCTCCAATAAGTTCCATCAAAACCCTAGATAACAAATTAGCTATTCATAATAATATGCATAACTACAATACTACAATTCATAACCAATAATGAAAACAAGAAGAAGGAAGTGAAAACTCGTAGAAGAATTCTCCGCCTTGATCCTAGTGTGTTCTTACCTCCTTAGGTCGAATCCCCGGTCTAATGTCGGTCTCCGTGCTCTCCCTAGGTCTAAAATGTATCAAAAGTCTGTCCCCCCCCCCCCCCCTCCAAATAGCATTTTTACATGTATTTATACCAAATAGGGACGGGCCCAGACGAAACATCTTTTTCTGCGCGAAATAGGACAATCACTCTGTAAATTTGCACTACCGCGCCACATGGGGCGACGCGCCATGCGGTGTGCTTATGGGCAAGTTCAGAGAACTGATTCTGACAAGCTGCAGGAATTTTCCACAGGCGCGGCGCGCCCCACGCCACGGTAGTGGGAATTAGCAAAAATACAAAACATGAAAGTTGTAGCCCTTTTAAATATCTTTCCAACGATATATTGTGGAGTCCAAACGGAGTTTTGAGCGAAAAGTTATGTGCATTTTACTAGACAATGCGTCGTATGCCCGCTCGATTCTTCGTTTCGTTCTTAACTATCATCCATTTATCCCCGAACACGATCCCGACTTGATTCCTTGGGCTTTTACTCAGAATTCAAAGCTCCAAGTCACTTGAATTCATTTCATAATATTTACATAGCTCGGAATCACCCCTACAAGGCATAAAATACATAATTTAGTGCAAAACACTAATGATTAAAGCTCAAACTCAATTAAAGTGGAGTACGTTAGAGTGTACTAAGCGATTAAAATACTTAATTATAGTCTATTATCACTTAGTCACCAAGTAACAAACCCTAAAATCTCTCTAGACATTCACCATAAATAAAATTCTATTTATAACATCTACAATATACTTTCCTTTCACTACCGAAACAATTAATGGACAGTAAGTATGAAAATTGGTTATTTTATAAAAAAATATTTTTTCGAGAAATCATATTCCTTCGTACTAAACACGGTACTCTTTATTTTTTAAAAAAATAGTGAATCGCCTTAACATATTTGCAATGATCTCTCCCTTTTCCCGAATTTCTAGTATGTAATTTCCCAAATAACCAATTGCTCCGGTAATCCCCAAGAAAATATTCCCAGCTAAATTCGCATGTAGTACTAGGGATTTTCCTTCAGATTAACATATGATTTTTTTCCCTCATTTTCTTTGTTTGTTTACCTGCGAATTTTCTCACGAAAATGTACTTGCCGATTTATTTCTCTACTAATATATATTAAAGTTACTGACAAATTTAATAACGCTACTAATATATTTGAAAATTATCGTTAAGAAAAAATTAAATTAACGAGTATACTATAAAAATAAAAAATAAAATAATATTAAGTTATTTTATTAATAAATAAAATACATAGTTAAAAATATATTATATATTATATATAGAAGGTATTACATAAATATGAAGGTTTATATAATATCAAGGGCATAATAGACTTTTCAAGTAAAAATGTGACTTTTGTGATAACTAGAGCAAAGTAAAATATTTTTTGTGTAACAAAAGAAAAAACGGAAAAGGGCTTGATATATCCCTCTACTTTGTTTTATTGTTCAATCCTGTCTCCCGTTATACTTTCCGTCCAAATTTACCCCTACCGTCCATCAAAGTTCTATATTTGCCCCTATTTTAACGGACGGGACACGTGGCACATTCTGAATACGGAAAAGGGCTTGATATATCCCTATACTTTATTTTATTGTTCAATCCTATCCCTCGTTATACTTTCCGTCCAAGTTTACCCATGCCCTTCATCAAAGTTCTATATTTGCCCCTATTTTAACGGCCGGGACACGTGGCATATTTTAGGAGAAAGAACCAGTACAAAATCAAAAAAACTCCAAACCGCCCTAGAACCCATGACCCGCATGCTCGTTTTTCCTCTCTTAATTTTTTTCCAAACTTCTCTTAAATAAAAACTTTTAATCCGTGTAAGAGATTATCTTAGTCTGATAAAGAGATGAGGTTCAAAGACACAATTTCCGGCGCCGGCGTGATTTCGTGAGAAAGGCATTGTGACTGATTGATTGAGTTGGTTCGAGGTGAGTGGCTTGCCTAACCTTGTGTGGGAACTCCCCTTAGGATTTGGTACTATTTTTTTATATATGAGTGCCGTGTACGTGAGGTGACGAGTGCGTACACGGGCTATTTGTTGCAAACTCTATTTTCATTAAGTAAAATATCTGTTTTTCCTTAACTGAGCTACACTAACATATGTAATTATCCTATTTAGTTTAGAACAACATGTCTAC